GGTGCGTTCGCCCGCTGTAGGCCTCAAGATAACATTGTAAATGTCTAAGCAAGCTAGCTATGCACGTAGGAACGCGCACAGGAGTTTGTGGACGAGCTGGCCAAGCTGTCGGACAATCCGGCGCAACTTACGGACGCGGCGATGGCTCTTGCGGCGCAGAGCAACGGGGACAAGCGCATTGAAGACGATATCAACAAGATATTGGCGCAAGACGAGGAACTCAAGGCTTCGGCTCCCACTTTTGTGCCGCGCAAGTTCCTGTCGCCTGTGGTGCCCGAATTCCACCCGACAAACAGTCCCGAGGGGAGTTTTGACCAGCTACAAGCAGCTTCATCGCCTCCTGTTGCGCTGAATCACTTGAACAGTAGTGACGGGTACGAAGACGACGAGGTCGATAGCGAAGAGGAAGAAGACGATAGTGCTGCGATGCAGGACGAAGACAGTTTCTTCTGGTCCGTGGCCTACGAGGTACAGTGGACGACTTGGGCGTTGCTGAATTCGTCGGGATGAGAGACGCCGCGTTCCTATTTCTTTTTACCGTGTTATTTTTTTTAGAGTACCTTAAGGTCTTGCTAAGTTTCATGTGCTGGTGCTGCACAGTTGGTGAGCCATTTGCAACTCAAGTTCCAGGACATCGACCCCAATCGACTGTGCGACTTGTTGCGTCTGGTTGGACTGGATGTAGACAAGGCGCACGCGGTGCTGAAGGCCACGATCGAGCGGGAATCCATCGGACCCGGACAGGTGTGTCGCCACTATCTACAGGGAGAGTGTCGTCGCGCAGACTGCATGGTGCGTCTGTCATTTGAGACTTGGCAGTGCTGTGGAATGCTCACAAGCGTTCGGATTCGTCCCTTGTTGCGGCTATAGTTCCTGCACGACACGGACTCGATCACGTGTCGCTTCTGGCTGCGCGGCACCTGCTTACAAGCGGACCACTGCGTGTTCGCACACGACTTCTGTGAATACTACTCGATGGACGTCAACGCGTTGGGCCAGCGCGACTACGACAGCGAAGACGAGATGGACCAGAACAGCGCGCCGCTGGACATTCAAGCTGAAGACATGTTCCCGTCTCTCCAGAGCGCCACGTCAGGAACTACATCTCCGCAGCCGCCGCTACCTCAAGGAAGTAACAGCCCTTCAATGACAGCAACAACCACTAGCACGTACCCGTCGACGGAGGATGCAGTGGCCAATCTTACTATGAACTTTGCTCGTGCGGTGGCGCTACAGCCAGCGGTCACTGCTAACGGCAGCTACGGGGTGGACTCGTCTCGACGAATGCCACCGTCACCTCCGATACATCGCCCATTGTATCGCAAGATTGGGAGCAGCGATGGTCCCAAGTGGGTATCTACGGGTCAGAGTGTGGCGACGCAGTATCTCGAGCTGCGGGAACAGGCTTACGAAATGGCTTGTGCTCGGAATAAGTGTTTCATGGGCGCTACACAGGCTTATCGCAAGTACGAACTGTTGTGTGTATGATAAAGAGGATACTGGACTCACATTATGGTGTTTGTGGTCACAGTGGTAACAAGGCGCTGGCTAAGGGACTGTCGAAGCAAGGACACGAGTACAACGCCAAGATGAAGAACTTCCACTTCTTGGCGGCGTCCGAGATATTCGAGTCGCGCAACCCGCCCAACCAACTGTACATGGACCGGATGATGGATCTGCACGGACTGCACGTAGCTGAAGCCGTCGAGTTCCTCACGCAGATGCTGCCCAAGCTCGCAGATGAAGGCGTGGACAGCATTTACTTGGTCACAGGCTCAGGGCACCATTCCAAGGGCCCAGACGGCAATGCACGTCTGCTACCAGCAGTCGAACGATTCCTGGCTGGTGAGGGATACCAGTACACACCGGTGGCTGACGAGGCAGGCTTTGTCGGGATGTTGCTTGTAGACTTGCGGTGGTAGTCTAACTGTAAAGAGCAAGCAAGAAAACATGAGTAAGCAGCGTTTAGTGTGTGTATCTTAAGTGTTGATCGTTCTGGGCAAATTGCAGTGTATTAAACCGCATAGCTGGTCCTTCAGTCTACCGGTTCTACTCTGTAGATTTCAAGTAACAGCTCGATGTATCCACTTAGTTGCCGCGTCCGTAGTCGTGCATCTCCTTGACGTCCTGGTGCACCACGTGCTTGAATCCTTCGGGTTTGAAGATGAACACGTTGCAGAAGCCACCACTGTATGCGTCACGGTGTGTGGCGTGGTAGATGGCGCGCTTGCCGAGCTCCACGGCTTCGTCGTCCGTCAGGTCCCAGCGCCAGTTAGTGTCCAGTACACCATAGGCGTAAGTGGAACCTGAGCCGACGCTGAACTTGGGCACGTCCTTACTGGCCGGAATGCGAGAGCCCTCGTCGTCCACATAGTAGAGCACAGGCTTGCCATTGTCGTAGCCCATCATCATCATACCCAGCGACATTCCGTAGCGCTTGTAGTAATTGCACGTGTTGGCGATGAGCTTCGATGCCGCGCGCACCGAGATGCGGTGGCGGTTGCGTAGCTCGTACATGCGGCACTGGACGGCCAAGTTACGCTGCCAGAACTGACAGTCGGCGGCACCGCCGGCCAACGTGGCGAGGATGTAGTCGTTGATGGGGTTCACCTTCTTAACCTGTTGGGACGCGATGAACGGACCCATTGTGGAGCGCGAGTCCACCGCCACGACGATGCCGCCGTTGTAGATGAAAGCCAGTGTGGTCGTTCCCTTGGCGAACTGCAGTGACTGCTCATTGTCCTCCGTGTATTTGACCTTGAAGTGTTCGCGAGAGTAAGCGGCCGGGTCGGCCACGGGCGGTAGCATGAAACCAGCGGCCAGTGCGTCGGGAGCGCTTGGGGTCAGGTCGTCCATGGCCGCCATGTGCATGTTGGGCATAGCGCCGCCGTAGTTTACGGAGGCACCGCGGCTGCCAGCGCGCAGGAAGTTGAGGTTCACCACGGGAGCGCTCATGTCCGAGGAGCTCTTGAAGGGGGTTTTAGTATGGAGAAGGAAGGATATCCTAAACAGGGAGAGATCCAAATGGAGGTTGTGTGATGTGCTATATA